GAACTTTTGAAATCTGGTTTATAGTCAGACAAGAAGAATAAAGATTCAAAAGATAATAGTGGAGGTATGATGTCTAATGCTCATGTGCTAATATAATAGGTAATATTTGTCATCCATTATAAAGAAAAGTTTTCAGGGAAATGCTTCTGACGGCACCAGGTAAAGATTCCAGCTTTCATTTTAGAACTTGACCGTCTGTACTTGCTTAACTCCAGCCCCTACTAAGGGCCAGTCCATAAAGTGCATCTCTCTAAAAAGCAGAATAGAGAAAAGGTCTTTATATATTATATAAACATTATAATATACAATATATAATAACAAGGGTTATGCATCTGTGTATCTGTTCGTAGCGAAGACCAGACCTTAGCACCATTGTGATTCTTTCCTCTCCTAGTTCCTATAAACCCTGGGTTTATTTGTACGGGAGAGAAAGGATCTCGCTCATGCCACAGTGCTCACTCAGCTTCTCTCAATGAGTTTTGTTTACTCAGTGAGTTTTTTTTGTTTGTTTGTTTGTTTTTTGTTTTGTCTTGTTATCTCGGTGAGTCGTTATGGCGTAATTACAGTTCTAACATGATACGCTATTTGTTGAAAACCGTCAATTTTTGGTGGAAGAGAGAAACTACAGTTCAAAAACAGTGAGCGAAGCAAATCAGTGCCATGATTAACCGATATTAACAGACACCCTGAAGATTTCAAATGCTTGCTCTCCGTTTCCAGGAAGCAGCCAGGAAGAAAATGCCTAGCAGGGGTTAAACCCCGGTGCATGCACGGCAGCCTATTTCTGTCAACGCTCCGTTCAGGAAATAAACATTTATGCTTTCTGAAATGAAAGTGTATTTTTGAAGACTAGCCGTCAGATATTTTTTGCCCTTCACACTTTCAAATGCTTAGCCTTTTCTGTAAGTTGACTGCAAAGTGCATCAGTTTGCCAGGCTAAAAAAAAAAAAAAAAAAAAAAAAAAAGGGCTTGACAAGTGCCCATGGCACCACTGTCATCCTCCAAAGTTTCTAGTGGAAGGAGGCAAGAGCGTTGGCACAAAACATACTTTCTTCAAGCCTGTTACTTCAGGGGTACCTGCCCCTTGAGAAGCTTTTCAATCCTTCCAAATGATGTTATTCCCAACTGTCATCTGGTTTATTTGGAGCACACAGGATCGCAGATAAACACGCTATTTAACTGCGGGTCAAGGGAGAGAGTCATTCTGCTCGCAAAACGCCCGAGATACAGTAAATGGCGCTGACTCCAGGACGGAGATGGAGAGAGATCAGAGTTGTCAGCGATAGGCGTGGAATGGGCCATGGTTGGGGAGGAAAAAAAAAAAAAAATGTGCCGTGGTATCAGTGTATTTTAAAAAGCTGTAATATGGCTGAACATTTAAAACTATAACCTGTCAAATACCAAAGATTAAGATCCCGGGATGTACAAAACATGACGTTCGAACGACACAGCGGCGACACATATTTTATTTCATTGGGGAGAAAGGTTTCTCTCTGCAAAGGTAGCAAAATGGAATCGGGGATGAGGGCCTCTCATTCATAGCTCTGTAGCCATAAAACCCCACTCAATACCGGGCACAGTGCACACAAGTAATCCTCATTTGGATACAAGCACATGTGCACCAAGAGAGCCATCACATTTTTAGAGAATTCCTTAAACTTGGTTTATTTAGATCTTGGCCATTTAGGTTTTTATACTTTGCTCAGGTCCCCTGATCAAAATATTATCATCTCCATGTTGTTCTGTGTGGCAGCAGTCCTAAAGGGCAGGCAGAAGAAGTTTGTGGTATTCCAATGTTAGCTCTGTTATGCATCCCGCCTCCTTTGTCACCAGGGGAGCAGAACAGTCTCCTCACCAGGCTGTGTCCCTGTCACCCAGGCATCTGGGCAGGCTCTCTTTGTGCCAGCTTCCAGACTGCTGAGGTGTGGTAGGAAAGGGTTAAAAGTGTTGCAGGTCAGCTTTTTCTAGAGCACAAAGAGAAAGAAGTCCAGACTTCTATTTACATTCTGGAAAGCATGGATGGTCCGTTTTCCTATCATTTTTCAAAATTACACTTCCTTTAATCAACTGAAAGAGATGTGAGGCTCTCAAGCAAAGCAAACTTGTCAAACCTTTTGTGCTGTACCTATCTCCCCATCCTCGCTGAGAAAAAAAAAGAGAGAGAAACGGTATTTTTTATTTTTTAACCTTTTTCCTTTTGTTTCCTTAAGAAGTGAAAGAAAAAAAGTTAGGTTTATAGGAAGGATTCACACACACGCACACACACACAGACATCAACAGAGAGCAGACAAATTGCAGGACCAACCTAAAAAAAAAAAAATGAAATTTTATTGTTTTTGCTTAATTAAACCCCAAAGAAATGTGTGAAACCTTGTTATGGCTGAAAATTGCGAATTTGTAAATCACAGGGACAAAAGGGCCCCTGTGCAACTTTAAAGTTTCCGTGCACGTAACTGTCGATAGCGTGCCTTCTCCATCATCAGCACTAAATTCACAGTGATGCCTCTTTTCTTCTCCGTATTGATCCTTCCATGAGAACGTAGATTTGTATCTGTTAATTAATGCGTCCTGAAACAGCGTTTGTATTAATCAGGCAGATAAGAAAAATTGGATGCCTGCGTCCTCTTGACAACCGTAAAAGTGCTGGGCCTGATAAAATCGTGGACGGACCTCAATAAAAAAGTTCCTCCTTCCACTCAATAAACTAATCATCCTGCTTTTAATTATTCGGCAGAAAGATGTGTGGAGATTGGAGAATGTGTAAATCTATTTACTAACAGCGGTGTCTGGGAGGGAGAATAGGGCTGTCACAGGAAGGGGCTGCGGGCTACGCGCTCTGTCCATCTGCTGCGGCAGAGAGAACGGCTGCTCCGAAGCATGAAAAGGAACAAGCACACGAAGGCAAAGGGGAAAATACTCCTCCCTTTTGGCTCATAACTTTCTAAGATGATCATTTATTTCTTCATCTATTTCATTTGCAAAACAAACCTCGACCCTTCCCTTTGCTTGAGTTAGGTATATTTGGATGTGTGTCGCATCTTTTATCTTGGCGGGGTGGGGTGGCCGGGGGATGGGATAGAAAAAGGAGCAATACTGGTTTGTTTGCTGGGAGTGTAACATTCTCAAGATCGAAAGCAAATGGAACCTAACCTAGTCAGACTAGGTCGTTATTTTTCTCTTTGGACTCTGTTGAAAATGTGACCACATGTTTTATCTCTAATTCTAATAGGAAACTTATGTAACCCCACAATGGGATGACCAGAAAGAGAAAAGGAGTGGGGAAAAAAAGGAAAGAAAGATTGACACCACCAATTCAGAAGAAGATCTGTCATGTAATGTGTAAATGGCTTGATAAACAATGAAAGAGATGCTTTTTACACATGTGTGAAGACCCGCCTTTAATAAAAGCCAGACTAATCCTTCTTGATGATTTTATTAAACACTTCAGTTAGTGGTGCCAAGTGGCAAACCACTAGTTTTCACCAACAGGGCAGGAAATCGTTTCCTTGTCCTCATTGTGCAGTAGTTTCTAATATCAGATGGGATGTGAACAATTGGATAGGAATAAAAATGAGACAAAAGCAGTGACCATAAGCAGGAGCCCAAGAAGACTGAGCAGCAGAGGATGGTTATGATTTGGGTAGTAGGATCTAGAGAAGGAGTAAAAATAGATGTTATAAGTTGCGTTATTAAAATTTTCTCCTTCTATGGAATTATTGGTGGCAGGATCTTAAATCCTGGTATTGTTGTCCTCAATAACCATAGGGCTATTTGCTCACCCCTTGGAATCCCTGGGCATTACCTTTGAAATGAAAGTGAAGATTTAAAAAACATTCATTTTTTTAGGACTCTTGGGGAAAGTATGTGGCTGATCATTAGGTATCTTCACTAAGACTTCCATTTAGAATCTAGATCTCGTCCCTCCGAGGTTTAAATAAATATTTTTACTCCTAACTAGGTTTGATTATACTACTTCCTCTTTCCCTATTGAACCGCATTTCCTTTTTTTTTTTTTTTTCTTTTGCATGTTTTCTCGGAAGGGAACTTTTTTATATGTGTTACATGTGAATTCAGACCAGATTGTTAGTGAAGAATTACAGGAGTCATCTGGATAGTTCAGATAAAAATAATATTTAATATAGTGAGGTTTATTGAATGCATAGCATTAGTATTTTGCTGGGTGTTACTTTGTGTGTCCCCCAAACAAAAACTGAGGTGCGAGTAAACTGTCTTGCCCACAGTGAAAGAGCCAGTAGTTCAGTGGAGCCAATATTTAATCCGAGGATCTGGATCTGCCTATCTCCTACCAACGGAACTGCATTGCCACCATATTTAACTCTTTAAATAACTGGATGTTAATCAGAAGAACAAACGGTGGCTTTTTGATTTGGTGAAGAGGCCAGGCCACTCAGTATTCTTTTCTCTTTTACACCAATAAACACCATTTGGAGAGGAATTCATGTTGTATATCAGTGGGTACAAAATATCCAGCTAAGAGGGCTCTTTTGGGTGTATGAACACTCATCCTTCACTGAGCGTCTGACTGTTAGAGAGAAATGTTTGCAAATTGCACTCCACAGGGTGAGGCTACACTGTTTGTTTTCTGTTATTTGGGAGCTCTTTTTTTTTTTTTTAATTTTCCTGTTGTTTATCAATAGTAGTTTTTAGAGATGAAACGGATGAAAATCTGACTTCCTGAAAGACATTTATAAAAACTGTAGCCAGACATCAGTTATGTCTAAAGACTACATACTCTTTGCTTCTGAAATGAAAGAAACAAACCTACTTTTCTGAAAACCTAGGGAAAAAAAGACACCAACAAGTTGAACTGGTTTGTGACTTTTACTTTGCACAATGATCAGGGGAAAATTTAAGAGCGTCTCATCAAAGCTCAGCATAATTTTGAGCACCGATGCAGAAGCTGACTACCATATGAAACTAATGTTGCATTATGAAATTATGGCTTTAAAGTAACTTGATCTGCCCATCTTCCCATGCAGGCTTCTCCACGCTGTCCCTGGCGGACCAGATGAGCCTTCTGCAGAGTGCTTGGATGGAAATTTTGATCCTTGGTGTCGTATACCGATCTCTTTCATTTGAGGATGAACTTGTCTATGCAGATGATTATATAATGGATGAAGACCAGTCCAAGTTAGCAGGCCTTCTTGACCTAAATAATGCTATCCTGCAGCTGGTAAAGAAATACAAGAGCATGAAGCTGGAGAAAGAAGAATTTGTCACCCTCAAAGCCATAGCTCTTGCTAATTCAGGTTGGCATACTAACATGGTCGTTGTTGCATTTTTTAATATTTCAGTTTTACCCTTCCCTCGACTTCTTCTTCAGGGATTTGCTATACCTGGTTTTAAGTTTTGTATGAGACAGCAAAATTATAGTCATTACGGCTTTCTAGTGAAAAGTTAGAAATAAGAAAAGTCCACTTGCATTATTTTTATTATATTTGTTTATTGAAAGCGGTGAAACTTTTCGCAGCCTGTGCATTTCCTAACGTGTAGGGTAAATGGGAGCTCTCCAGACAGCGTTACCTCCATTGTCTTGTAGGCACAGGTGAAAATGAGTGTGCACCGTGGGTATGTGGAAAGCATTTTCCCCTTCATAAATGAACATTTTGCAATTGGAAAAACATACATAGTGTTGTTTTTATTTTGGCTATCGAATACTCTAGTTTTCTTGTATTCTGGAATCCTGTAGAAGGCAACTTCTGCTGGAGTATTTCTCTGAAAGGTACCACCTATGCAGTGAGGGTGTAGAATTATGGGAATAAACAGTCTTTACATTTGAACGGAAATGTACTAAAATAGCAACTTCCGATAAGTAAAAATCGTTGCTGCTTTGTTGTTTTTCCCTTTGTGCCTCTACTACCGCTTTATTGTGGTCTTAAGTCGCTTTTGGCATTTGCATATAGTTCCGGATAGATCCCTCCTTAATGACGTGCCGTTCTTTAGATACCTGCGTGTCAATAACGCACTCTGATGCTGTGTACCATTGACAGTCACACCGTGCCCCTCCATCTGCTTTTGTTTTGACCCTATCTTTGAACTTTATCTTGGTTGCTGGCCAGTAGTTTTCCCTTTAATTACAAGAAGGAAACTGTCAATAAAATCTGTTAAATGGGATGCAATGAGTGGCTTGAATGGGCGGATGGCTATTTGTTCAAATTCTGCAGCATTCAAGGTATTGACAGTTTGTTTTCTGGGGCCATATGTGACGATCAATCTCAGGCTGGGCTCAGCCGCGCTGAAAAATGAAAAACCAGATTGCTTTTGCTTACTTGTGGATGACGACTTTGTGATTTGGCGCGGTCCTAGTGAGATGAGACCCTTCTGCCCAAATTGCCCCCATGAGAGCCGGGGACGCGTGACTGTTTTTAGAAATAATTTTTAATTGATTTTGTAATTAACAGTTCATCTACAATATTGATGCGTGCATCCGTGGACTGATAGGAAGGAAATTGTTTTCAACAATGAAGTTGTACTTTCCTATTTGTCTTCATAATGGAGTTTAGCATTGCATACTTTTAATTGCTGACCACACCGTTCACCCCCCTTGTCCTCCTCCCCTGTGAAACTGTAATCTAGGATTCCTTATGACAAGTGGCACTGTTGATGCAGACATCTCACATACCCCTTCTCTGGCTCTCTAGAAGACCAAAGTGGGAGATGGGAGAGAAATTTCTCAAGAATTTGTTAGTTTGCAAGGACTTCACATTATATTATCTCTCATCATCAGATGAAAAATTCTGTAGCAGTGGTTTTGGGAAGAATTTCTGTTTGGTGGTTGTATAGTGATTCTAATTGAAAACATGTACTTGGCCAATTATATTTAAAACCCAGCAAGCGTGTTTTATATCTTTTATATTACATAATGCTTTTTAAAATTATTAACTAATTGTGAGTGCTGAGCAGCGCTAAAACTTGATCAAGATTGCTAAAATCTTATCATTTTAGGTGTTAGATATATACTTTATGGCTATTGTAATTTAGAGTACCTGAATTAATTAGTAGCAGCATTTCTGTGTGTTGTGTAGAAGTATAATCATTAGTGTTTTGATATGTAAATATTTGAATCCCACGGACTCCGCTGTTGGAAGAAGGAGGAAGTGACCTACTTTAGAGCAATGACTGGTGATTAGAAAGTCTTTAAAGAACTAGTTAGTTTGCTTTTCTGGTTTAAAGCCAGAACTAGTTAACTGGCCCTCTTTTTTCTCTTATACTGGTATTGAGTAACTTTAATTTCTTTCAGGAAATTTCTCCGTGTCACAAAGTTACTCTGCAAGTACTTGCAACTTTTTTTTAGCTCCTCAAAAACCAAGAAAATTTAACTGAATCAGAGTCCATAATAACGGAGAAAAAATTAAGGATTATATTGATGTCTAAACTGTGCCAGTTCTCTCGTGCTGTATAAATATGACCCTTCTCTCATGCTTCCAACCCCATGTTAGCAGGGGATAGCAAGGGATAGACCACTCAGAAAATCTTTTTTTTTTTTCTCGTACTCTCAGTATGATGCTATTTTATTCCATTTTTGACCATTACTTGGATGACAGCAATAAAGTTGTAGATTCATTCTTGCTTAGTTCCAGAGACTCTTAAACTGCTCAAAAATACATGAGTATGAAAAATGTTTTCAAAGATACCCTAAAAAGCTCGTGGTTTTTCTTTCAGTATTTAGAGATCTCAGAATTTGTGGGGAAAAAAAATCTATTTTAGTGTTATTTTTGTAGATATCTTAGCATTCCCTGTATGACTATAGGTGTTAAGAAGCAATGTCTCATTAATCTAAATTTCAGCTTGTTTTAAACATCTGTCTTTATTCAATAATTATTAATATTATGCTTATGCTCAGGAAACAGGGAATCGTCTTCTCGGTAATAGCTGTCGTATATTTTTGTACCTCTGTTTCTGGTATATATGAACTCAGGAATACTTACAACAGCAGGAACACCACTGGAAATACTTTCCCTATCTTGAAGGATATGGGGGAAAAACAACAACAACAAACCCAATATATTTTGAACTAATACTGTCATTTTCACATTCAAATATTTGGTATTTTGTCCCAATTATTTTTGAAGGTAAGAAACTCACTGGCTCACTTAAACTATATACTTTCTTAATTTTGCACACCAACTATCTCCTAGGCAATTGTTGCCTCCCTGATCCGTCTCTGTGCCATTGAATTTAAAAAGGAAAATCTACATCACAATGTTAACTTTGTAATTGTTAGGCCCCTTTATCTCATCAAACACCAAGAAGTTAGACTCCTCTCTAGAATTCTTCCCATTTGGGGAGTTTTAGGATTCTGTAATTAATTTTATGTCTTTATTGGAAAATTTAGTGAAATATTACTACATGCGTTTTGGGTAAGAGTATTTCATGGGATTCTCTTGTCTCGGTTTGGGTCTATTGATTCTTAGGCTTAAGACTATGTTTGAAGTTATTATGCTGGCCCCAAGGAAGTAGACTCGTTTTTATATATGGAAGACTAAAGCAGTTTAAGAGTGAGAATTGCTTTTAGTCCGGTCATTCTCTTTGGCTCAAAAGGCCCTCAAGCTTCACAGCTGCCACTCCTCCCAAGTGGTGTCATCAGCCCTGCCCCCTCTCTGGAGCCCTGTGAGCCCAACTCATTCAAGACCAAATGGCATCTACAGCTTAAAGCTGACTTTTCTCTTCTATTCCTACACCATGCTTGTAGAATAATAGCGTCTGTTGGTAGGAAGCTGTGAGTAATATTTTGCTCATCAGTTTCAAATTGTAAGTAATTAGAACCACATCCTCACAGTATTTTGTTCTTGAGAACAAATGTTTGATGTGTAGAATCGTGATATAATTTCAAGGGAGAGAAAGCTTCTGATTACTGTAGGAGACTGGGATGAGGGCCATCTTTAATCCTGTAAGTTTGGCCTCATGTTTTTCAGTCTTTTTTCATTATCTCTCCCTCGGGGTAGCCTTTTTAGATATTTTTTTCTTAATAAGTCCCCAATGAAATATTAATATCATGAAAATGTTATGTATCTGTTTGTGTACAGATATGCATTTTACCTAAAAAGAGACATCTGCCCCTACTTTCCAATTCCAAATTCCACTTCCTTTAAGAACGTACGCTTTAATCACATAACTGTTTTCTCATCTGTAACATGAGGCAGGTCAATTATATAATGTCTCATATCACTAAGTGGCCTAAAATTTTTATGTCAGTGACTTTTAAGTGAGGGCAGTGAGTTTGGTTGTACATTTTGTATGTGGTTATGTGTGTTTTAATGCTAAATTTATAATATAGAAATATTAACATCCTCATGGATCTGAATAATTAGTATAAAAGTGACAAACCTCTTTAGTACCTTAATATCTCTTGAGCCATCAAACACAATTTTATTGAAATTTTGACTAAATTTGCTGATTTTGATATTCTAGACAGAGTTTTAGATGCTGATCAAGCGATTATCCTTTTTTAAGAATCTTTCTGTAGATGTTTTTCTTTCTTTTCTTTTCTTTTTTTTTTTTTTTTAGCTTTTGCTAGGGAATCTCATTTGATTTCCACAACATGCCTATGAGATGGACATGGCCAATAGCATTTTTGCAGGTAGCTGAAGCAAGCTGAAGGTGTGTGGCCACTATGAGGCAGAGGGTTGGACCCTCTCTTCCTCACTATCAGTAAGCTGTTTCTATTCCACAAATAAGTAGATTGGCAATTTTACATCTGCCAACCAAAATTAGTACTCTTAATTTAGTTTAGAATTTTGCACTTACTTTATCTTGCTGTCTCCTTGGAGTTCCAGTAGTATAAAACTACTCTTAAAAGTGGCAAAAAAGATCTGGAGACAAAATGTTTACTACCTCGGTAGGATTTAATAAGAAATAAGTATGGGCAGGTCTTTTGCAGCAGGTAGATATTTATATATTTAACTTTTACCCAGACCAAACCATAATTAATACTCTCTGGGAAATCAAAATTATAATTTTTCCATCTCCTAGTCTACTTTTCTTTGGTTTTTGCTCAAATCTGCCATCTCTGTTTGGATTGTTTTAATTTTGCTTAAGACGTTGTAATTGAGTTGAAATGGGTGGTGGTTTTATTTAATGTAACCCTTGAATTTCGTAAATGTGATGATATCTCAAATTTTTATGTAAAAAGTAAAGGTAGGTTTTCAGATGTTTCTTATCACATTCAATGATCGCTGTGCCTTGACATAGTGTAAGAAATATTTGCCCCAAGTGTCTTTGCTTTCAGCTGGGTAATAAGCACATAAAT